ACCTCTGCAACAGCAGCCAGTGGTATAGAGGGGCCATCCACACCCACAACCTGTGTGCCGGCTATCCGCAGGGCGGCATCGACACCTGCCAGGTAAGGGCATGCTACAAGTCAACCCCCAGCAGCACAGGCAGCCCTGTCACCACCACCCAAACATACCCCAGCGTGTGCTTTGCCTTGCAAGTTACCTTCCCACCGCTGGGTCCCCACCACTGTTGGGGCTCACCTCCCCTTCCCAGTCTGCAGGTCCTTGCCCAGTGCTCCCCTTGTCCCAGAGGCCTGGGACTCTTCCCAGAAAGCCCATCCAGTGCCCTTGGCAGCCCTTAGGGCCAGCTCCCAACCCTGGAACATCCGTCCTCCACACGTGCAGGATCACTGTGCAGAGACAAGAGAGCGCCCTACCTTACAGGCCCACGACCCCTCCCAGACAAGGTTCTGTAGGCTCCAGCACCTGAGCAGAGCCTTTCTGTGCAGCGAATACAGCTCTGGCAGGTGCTGTGAGAGAGCAGGAGCCAGCCCCAGTGCTGACGGTGGCCACCCAACACCACCTTAAGCCTCTCCCCTTCACTGCAGGGTGACAGTGGTGGTCCTCTTGTGTGCAAAGATAACAGTGCCGACTACTTCTGGCTTGTTGGAGTGACCAGCTGGGGGAAAGGCTGCGCGAGAGCAAAACAGCCGGGAGTCTACACCTCCACTCAGCACTTTTACAACTGGATCCTGGTCCAGATGGGACTGCGCCCAGCAGTAACAGCTACTCCAGCGCCACAGCCCGTCTTCACCTCAACCCCCTTTCAGAGGCCAAGGCCAATACCAACGCAATCGGGCAGGTTTCCACCCTGCCCGTTTCCACGCCAGAAGCTGGTGGAATTCTTTAATCTGCTGCAGGAGCTCCTGCAGGTCCTCAGGGGAAAAAAAGCTTGAGCAGCAGGATGAACAGCATCCAGTGCAGGCTGCAGTGTACCACGACCATCTCCTTCTGGGGCAATGCCTGCTGACCCCAAGGCAGCCTCAGCGTCAAAGGCCTGGCTCTGTCCTGCCCGCTCTCCTGTGAGTGCACACAAATACTCAAGTTGTCTTAGTTCTTGAAATAAAGTTACCAATTTTTCACAGCTAAGCATGCTTCAGTCCGATTCAGTCTCCTGTGCCAGGCAAGGACTTCCATGCCCGGCACCTGCAAAATGAGACTGCAGGCAGACAGTAGGGCCACAAAGTCACTCAGCTGGGCTGCAGATGTGTCTGGTCAGAG